AAGTAAGATGTAGAACAAGTATTAACAAAGTCATTTAAAGCACATAAGGATAGGCTAACACAAATAAAAATACATTGACTATGAGAATTTAGAACATGATATGACAATTCAATTAAAGCATGAAAAGAATCTAAATAACCTAAACCGGTCAAATACCACATACAACCCGTGTACCCACTCGTCACCTTACGTACACGACTTTTCCATAGCACAAATAACACAATCAATCCTAAATTCTAAGTGGTAGTTCCACTACAAGAAGTTAGGCAAGATACTTACCTCAACTAGGCCAACTCAATCCCCGAAAATAGATTTTCCCCTAATATTCGTTTCCACACTTTTCATCAAAATCGACTTAATATCATTAAATAATGCAAGGGAAATCATTACAATATATAAAGCTATGATCTTTACACTTTTCCCAAAAAGTCAACTAGAGTCCGTCCGGTCAAAACTAGGGTGTAAGGATAGATTCTGACTACCAATAACCCTATGATTCCATATATGTGATTAGTTTCAAAATCCGAGTCCAGATCGACTCTCAAAACTCAAATTCTTTTTTTTTTTCAAAAAACTCGACAAAGTTTCACAAATGTTCCCTTTGATTCACATGATTTTGATGTTAAAATCTAAGATATATTGATGGAATATAGTTGGAAATAAATTAGAATCACTTACCCAACGTTTGTGAATGAAAATCCCCACTCCAAATCGCCTCATAAAGAGTCTAGGATTCTAAAATGAGAGAATATGCTGAAAAATCTCGTTTCCCAGCCCTTTTGTACAGCTGTAGTTGTCGCATTTGCGACACAAGGTTCGCATTTTTGAACCCTCACAATTGCGGACAAGGGATCGCATTTGCAAACCCTGACAAACTCAATCATTATCGCAAAGCGACCAAAGGCTTCGCAATTGCGAAGCTAGAAATTTCGCAAAAGCGAACAATTGTTCGCATATGCGAACCAAGCCCAATGCTAGCTAAATTCGCAAATGCGAAGGGGAAGTCACAATTGCGACATCTGATCCCCCATTGTCACCTTCGCAATTGCGAGGCTGGTTCTCGCAATTGCGATAACTAAGCACCAATAACACTAGCAATTCATTTTCAATACAATACCTTCCGAAATATATCTGAAACTCGTCAGAACCCTCAGGGCTCCAAACCAAACATTCACACAAGTCTAAAAATATCATACGAACTCACTCGTGCGATCAAAATAAAAAATAACATCTAAAACTACAAATCGAGCACTAAAACACATGAATTTCAACGTAAAGTTCAAGAATCTCTAGAATTACAACTAAACGTCCAAATCCTATCAAATCAACTCCAAATGATACCAAATTTTGTAGACAAGTTCTAAATACCTTAATGCACCTATTCCAAGTCCCAAAATCAAATTCTGAGCTCGATAGCTATAAGTCAACCTACGGTCAAACTTTTCAACTTTAAATTGCCAAATTTCAGCAAAACGACACAAATCAACCTACATACTTCCGAAATCAATTCCAGGCATATGCCCAAGTTCAAAATCATGATACGAAGCTATCGGAGCCATCAAAATATCATTCCGTGTCCGTTTTCATAAAAGTCAAAGTTTGGTCAACCTTTCTAATTTAATCTTCTAAGTCAAGAATCAAAGGGTCTGAATCAACCCGAAAGCTTTCCGGAACGAGAATAATCAACCCCGTAAGTCATAAAATCATTAACATACATGTGTGAAGCATCAGAAGAGGTAACGGGGCGCAATTACACAAAACGACCGATCAAGTAATTACAATACAATATCGTTTCTGCGTGTAACCCGATTCACACATATATAATAATATTGTTGTGCGCAATCCAATCTATATAAATAATATAATACTATAACGGCATGCAACCCGATCCACATATATATAATACTACTACCAATTACGGCGTATCTCCCAACATAACATAAAAAGGATCTAGAACACATAAATTCTCTAAAATAATTCAATATAACATAGTAGAGTGAAATAGGAAGCAAGTAAAGGCTTGAGACATGTAAAAGCGTCTACCCAATAGCATGTAAAAATATATGGCAAGTATAGATGGACAATAAGTAAAGGCATGGGTAGATGGAATCATGTGGCAAATAGGGACATGTAACAAGTGAAGGCATGTATTTAACAAGTAAGAACATATAGCAAATAAAGCACGTAACAAGTCAAATCATGAAATAATTGAAGGCAAGATTTTATTAAAGACATGCAATTAAGTAGTCAACACCGCATGCTTGAACCCATGACAACGCATATACACTCGGTACCTTGTATATACGCCATCACCACATATAAATCACATAGCAAATAGACCAAAACAAGTCCTAATTCCCCCAAATCAAGTTAACTATGACACTTACCTCTTTCTGAAACAAAGTCAACTATTCAATACGGCTTTTCCTTTGGAGCAAACCTCCAAACCAATTGAATCTAGTCAAATATTGTTCAAACAATTCAATATAAGCTTTAGAAATTACCCTCGTACGATAAAGGTTCAATCTTCATCATAATTAAAAATACAACCCGGACCCACGTGGTCGAAATCTGATATATGACCAAATACAAGCATTTATTGCAATGTGATCAATGTCTCAGCCACTCAATTATCACAAATGCGTCAAAGCCTTTGCATTTGCGAAGGTCCCCTCCCTCGCAAATGTGAACATTTGCGAAGCTGCTTTACAATGCCCAGTGACGCAAATGCGACACCACAATCACAAATGGCGATGATCCCACCAACCACAAATGTGACTCAGACTTTGCAAATGCGAAGTTTCCAGTCTCAACCCCTCTTCGCAAATGCGAGCCATCACTCGCAAAAACGATGCTTGCATTTGCGAACAGTACCTCACAAATGCGCGATTTACAGGCACTCCACACCAACAATCCAATAGTTGTTCCAAAACCATCTGAAACTCATCTGAGCCCCTCGTGCTCAATCCAAACATTCAGACAAGTGTAATAATATCACACAAACTCGCTCGCTATCTCAAATTGTTAAAACAACATCAAATATCAAGAACCGATAATCAAAACTCAAGATTTTCAACTCCAAAACTTATTTTTTTCAACATTTCACATAATATGCCGAACGACCTCAGGTCATCGGGGATCCCGCCCAAACATGCGTACAAGTCCAAAAATATATACGAACCTACCGGAATCGCCAAAGCACCGATCTGAGGTCGTTAACCAAAAACATTGACCGTGGTCAACCTAGCCACATTTAAAGTCAAAAATTATTCTTTTCTTCAAAATTTTACATATAAACTTTTTGTAAAGCGACACTGACCATGCAAGCAAGCCATAAATCATTAAATAAAGCTATGAGAGGTCTCGTAACACATAAAAGAGATCTGGTACTTAAAATGACATATTAGGTCGTCACATAAAAGGCTTTAAACATTTCAAAAAGGAGTTAGCATGTATTCTTTTCGTCGTAATTTATATAACGTACACTTCATCCTTAGACATAATTTTCAAACAATTACCGTTCCTTTCTTTTTAATTTATGTGATATAATTTGAATCGATTCGGAGTTTAAAAAAATAAAGTTTTTTAAATTTATGATCTAAAACACGTCATAATATATGTGCGATTGTAAAACTTTTGAAACCTGTGACCTTAAATTTGACATAACATTTCTGTTACTATAAAAAAATCTCATTAAAAGTAAATGAGGAGTGTAAAGTTAATTGTTTTCAAATATAAATATATGTTATTTTTGCACGGATTAATAAGAGAATAATGTCATGTAAACCGGAATGAAGGAAATACATTTTATCTAACCTTGACTTGTTTCTCAAACTAAAATAATAAATTTAAAAAATTAATAAATGAAGCGTGTGTCGAAATATAAGAAACGCTCGTTCCACTTGAAGCACAAAAGAGTCATTTACAATATTGAAATTAAAAGTGTCCTTATTAGAATCTTTTACGTGTAAAAGATAAATCTCTTATGTATAAAAGTAAATCGCTCATGTATAAAAAGAAGATAGAGTCATAAAAGTAAAATAAGTCCGTAAAGATCCAAATTTATAATACTCTTTTCTTATTCAAACAATGGGACTGACAAATAAGGGTTAGATATTGATGACCTGCTTACATAAACGTATTAATTTAAGGAACAGTTTTTACGAAACAAATTGGTAAAGAAGTTCCAAAATAAGTTTTTTAAAATTTGGAAGCAAACTCCAATCAGTCGAGGAAAACTTATTAAATGGATCCGTTTCACCACTTTCCAACTACTTTGACTAGAGACACGGAAGTGGTCATTAATGCAAAGACAAAAGAATCATGAAAATTAAGGATCATTTAAGCAGAGGTTCAGAGGTTTCTTCTATTCATGACAAAAGCTAAAAACCTTAGGGTAGGCCACAAGTCATAATAAATACAAATACTAGAGTAACAATTTTGAGTCATTATAATGATTGAGAAGCTAAACAAATTAGAATAGCATGTCATGATAACAAAATTTACCCTTTTTCTCCAACAAATAGCCACTGGACAGACCCTGTTCACACAAATTTCCTTTCACCATAAATTCCAAGACCTGCAAATGATGCAGTCAGTCCATTCATGTTGAGACAAGCTTCATCATGACAAAGGTCAGAAGCTGCATTGGTTTCTGCAGCCACAATAATCCTAATCGGAAGAGTGGGTGAGGAGGATTAAACAAGGATATCAAAGCCATACATGACATGAAATCTAACAAGTCCACTTACACTCTTTATTTGATTTTTTTTCCTTCCAAACAATGGTGTTTGAACTATTTTACTCACACCTCAATCATTCTACAGGATATATTCTATTTCTTGAAAAAAAAATTCACCATGTTTTGGACTTTTACAATTCTTATGTCCAAACGCCCGCTAAGAATCTTAAAGGCTGGACCCACTGAATTTAAATCCTAGATCCGTCTCTGGTTCTTATACTACTCCTTACACAATAATAGCCGTACCCCACACCAAAAAGAAAATAATTAATATGTGACACATCAATAAGATTATGTTAAATTATCACTCTTACATCTTTTTTGCCCTTTCGGCCAATAATGAAGTGTACTCAAATGTTTCCGATTTAGTTTTGAAAATGTTAAAAAAGAAAAGGTTACATCAGCCAAAGTAATGGTTTATTTTGACAAATAATTCTTGATTAAGCCAGAAACATGCTGAGCTACCCATAACGAGCCAGCCTCCGTGCAAGAAAAAGCATGAGTATAACCCCCTTGTTCAACTGTTAGGACAGCACCTGGAACATTATTGGAGATCTGTAACCACAAAACTGGCAATTAGATAAATTTCAAGCTAACCAGTAGAATTGGTTCAGTAAAATGTCAATAACCTTTATGCATCATAAAGAAAATTAGTCATTATTGTTTGCAATTACAAAAAAAACAAGGGGATTTTTCTCTCATGGGATTGCTTTCATTTGGCACAATGGGATCATGTGAAGATCGCGCAAGGTGGTTTGCTCGCACCTTAACTATTCCACCAGGTACATGCTACCTCCCACTACGCGGACATCTACTAGTGTGATTGCTTTACGAGAGAAAGGTCGTCAATAAGGTAACCATACTTGTCAAACTACATCTCTAGTCTATCCAAAGGTCTTTTAGGAATTTATCCCTCCTATACATGAACATCTTCTGCATAAAGATCAATTTGCGATGTGCCATCTCGAATTCACCTGTCTGCTTTAGTGACCATCAATACCTGTAACTACACATTGATAACTAGTTATCCTTGCCACTACTAACAGTTTCTACACGAATTTTGTTTTTATTAATACTTCTTGGTGTTAGGGTGACTTGTGAGTAGGACAAACACGTTTGAGGAAGGCACTCAAGTATTTATGTATATGAAGTGACAGGTCTGAGAACTTCAAACCAAGAAGGATAGTCCTATCAATATTTGCGTTAGGGCAAGACAAACAGTGTCCCACATAGCTTCCCTATTAATGTTTTCCTAGACTGATACGTAAACTAGCGAAAAAATGACACTGTATGACCGCTGTAAAAATAATAGCCGAAAAAATATATAAAGTTTTATACACTTTTTCGGTTACCAAATGTAAATAGTTTCTGGCGCGGGCTAAAAGTGATAATACTCCTAAACTAGCGGGAAATACATCACTTGCTCGGGCTTCACGTGTCACCTGAATAATAGCTTGTTTGGCCAAGCATTTTTAAGGCCAAAACATCATTTTTTTTTTTTTTCCGAAAGTGTTTATTTTCTCCTTAAGTTGAAGTGTTTGGCCAAGCTTTTAGAAGAAAAAAAAAATACTTTTGAGGAAAAGCGGAAGCAATTTTGAAGAAGCAGAAAATAATAGTTTTTTCCTAGAAGCACTTTGAGAAAAATACACTTAGTAGGACTTTTTAAAAGCTTAGCCAAATACTAATTATTGCTCAGAAATAATTTTCAAATTAATTAGTCAAATCCAAACCACTTTTCAGCAAAAATACTTTTGATCAAAATAAGTTAATTTTAGAAGCTTGGCGAAGCAGCAGCCTGATATGTAATATTTAGGCAACTCAAGTAGACAGCACCCACTAACTCCATCACGTTTGGGACATAAAAAATAAGGATATATACACTAAAAGGGAGAGCACGTAACAAGTATAAAATCTGTTATTGCACACATGTCAGGATTAATAGGTATTGTCAATCTTCACTTCATTGCGTAATCTCAAATTCTTTTTTCACTTATTTTATACGTTGTCAATCTCCAGTTTCATTAACAAATGAGTTAATCCACTTCCTTTTTCTTTGAAAATTGATCAAACAACTATGGTTTCGAATAAGGTAATCAAGTTGTGGCAGGAGCTTACATCCTTCAGCAACACCAATAGAATTTAAGACTAGATAAATTTATTCTTAATAGTAAATTTATAAATATTAGTTTCAAGCTCAAAATATTATGGAGGGACATAATTAGATGATAAAAAAAATTAAAATCATGCTCATATCTCTTACTTTCAAGATGCAGTAATTTCGACCGTACTATAGAATTGAACTAGAAATCCTAGATTTTATCTCTTTCTAGAAACTCATTAGATTATTTCTTACAGTCTTCAACTAGACATAAGCTCAAAAAAGCCAGTTCTCACAGCATGCACAGCAGTCTGGAAACGACGATAAAACATACAAATAGTTTTCAAAATGCTGATCAGATTCGGATCGACCATTAATAAGACACCATAGAGAGTAAATCTTTGTAGTTTCACATTGCAAACATAAAAGGAGAAAATATGCACAATGAAATAAGACATTATTTACCTCTTCATAAATATGTAAGGGACCCCAGTGATCATCGACACCAAACAAAAATGCTATCTGATTTTTCTTTTCCCTCATAAATGACCAATCAGGTACCTCAGAAAGCTAATCCAGAAGGCAAAAAAAAAAAAAAATCATTAACAGGATAGACTGAGAAAACTTCTATGGAGGAATACAGACGTGCACGGATTTGGGGCAGTTGGAGGGAAATTTCTTTCTTTTTGGTCATGTTTTAGCTTGTCGTTTAAAGCTTTTCTATGGGAGTAATCCCGCTTGTCATGCAGCTGTTTTGCTAAAAAAATCACAGGTTTTTTCACCTCTTTATGAAAAATTACAGTCTATAACAATCTCTTCCATAGGCACCATCATCTTTAACAAGAATATTTTGCATGAAAGATGTTCTGGAACTTAATAAACTCGGATTAGGTTGCACTGGGTCAAATAACGGGTACCCTTGGAGCAACATCATGATAATGTGACAAGGAGAAACTTACCTTTTCAAATTCGGTCATTGCCATGTATAGAATGTTCTGAACGGTATGGTACTGAAAAGCATATTGCAGTTGCCAACAATTATTAGTATTAAAGCTAACAATAGATATAGATGGCTGATTTCACAATATCCAATATCACAAAGAACAGAAAGCAAAGTTCGTTTCTCGACCAAAACTGTAACAAAACAAATAGTAGACAAAAGGAGGTTAATGATTTTGTACTTCAAAATGTGCTCCTCAATATTACAGCAAGTAGAACTAGGAGCAAACAGCAGCCATAAAGGTATAATTTTTTTAACTAGGACATCTACAAGGAGCCCTCATATAACGTGAAAACAGCGGGTTGAAATGTGGAGGACTTCCCAATAACTGCGGGTTTACACCAGGATCTACCTTGTCTGTACTTGTTTAGTTGTTTACCCTAGTTAAGAATGAGTGTACCAACAGTATGCAAGATTGGCATATACTCTTTTGGAACAACATTGTGTTAATTGACAAAACTACTAAGTGAGTCGATCAAAAGCTGAACTACAAAGGAGGATCCCAAAGTAGGATTTTATGATGATTGGAAATAAGACACAATATATGAATTGCAAGTGTAGACTTTAATTAGCAACTTAGCATAAAAAGAACGATTTGGAGTGAGATTAGACAACATTGTGGTGTCCTAATGCAAGATTATTTGTATATAACAATATATAAGATATATAATTTAAATAGAATGGCTAAAATAGAGTGCTGCGGGAATATTGTCGGTATAATACCTCGGGAACCCCCCCCCCCTCCCCCCGAACT